GGAGTTTGTTTTGCTCATGAGCCAAATGCTAGATCTTGACACCTTAGGCTGGTTGTGAAATCCAAGTGAGAGAAGGGGTGTGAATACACTTCGTAACCTGTAAAGTGCTGTGCCTGTGATGGAAAGTGCCACAGACATGAGATGAGGGCACAGCCAAGAAGTAAGACCCGCCTGGTTTCATGTCCAAGCTCCGCCACTTACTGACTGTTGGACGTTGAAGGTGGGGTGAAACCTCTCTCAGCCTGTTTCCTCACCTGAAAACAAGGTTACTAAAAGTGCCTCCTCTGGGTTCATCACCTCCTCTCCTGGGACCCCGGGGGAAAGGGATGTTTTTAAGTAACAAAGCACGTTGACCAGTAATGTTTTCTAACAACACAGGTATGCTTATAGAGCTTACTATAAAAGACAAGTTAGAGGAGTTGCTTTGGAATAGAATTTAGATTCAGTTCAGAACATCCCTGCTCAAAGAGCAAACCCACAGATAGTCAGGAGGGCATGTGATGGTGTTAAGACATAGTTTTCAAAAAGTTAAGGTCAGCATTTTTGTGCGACTATAAAACGAAACGTAGCAAAGATTATATTCAACTCATGATATAATGAAGGGACCAGTAAGATATTTAGAGCAGTCCAAAAAGCATTTGAGGAGCTAGGGGTTCATAAGCAATTTACTGTTAGAACAAGACTGAATAGATATAGAACTAGTTGATATCGTACATGACAATGAACCATAACTTTTGGGGCTGTCTTTTTCAAAATGACAAAAACTAACTGCATGGGTGTCCATACTGGACAAAAATTTACAAGTTAACATGGAGCTTCACCAAGTGTCAGAGGAGGACAGAGGAAATTTCCCTAGATCCTCGCAGGGATGGGATGGAGTGGCGAACAGTGTCATGATGCCACCATGCGACCTTGAAGGGTGTGCCACCCCCCTTTCTGCCTTAAATCCAAGTTTTGGATATTTTTTCCAACAATTTTGGTAAATACTTATTTTATTTCACTTACATGATGCTTATAATAGCCCTGTTGGGGCAAAAGGGTCAGGGGAAACCCATTTCCAGAGGAGAAAACTGAGTTAGTTCCACAAGGAGAGAGAGAAGCTGGGCTAGGAGGAGAATCCTGCTTCCTGATTCTGAGTCTGGCGCTCGCCTCTAAACTCCGTCTCACACTTGGCCTTCTCAGTTCCCCCTCACCTCAGCCCCCCGTCACTCTCAGGGGCATTTGTCTCTGTTCAGACTTCCCTTGGGCTTCACTGAAGGTAAACGAGGGAGGGAGGGAGGCACCTGCTGACTCCCACCCTTTACATCCCAGCGGGCTCCTGGTTTCATCCCAGTCCTTTTAAGTCCCCAACACAATTCAATGGCACAGCATCAGGTGAACCACATCCTGCTATCCTGAGCCAAAGAAAACTGTCCAGACACTTTATCCTCCCCTCAGGAAAAAAGACAGAAAGGAGGCCGCATTCCAGGAACCCATTTTTTTTAAGTGGTGGCTCCTTTCAAGTTCTTCTCTTCTCAGCTGAGTCACTTTGCCATCTTTCATCTGCAACTGCCTCCACATCAGAGAAACCTACTGTTTACAAACCAGAATGTCTCATTTGAAACACTTGTTCTGGTTGATGTTTTTCCCCCACGTCAACAAACAGGAGAGTGTTGGGGGGGAGCTGGATCTGTCTGGCTCCTGGCTGGATGGCATGCCTGCCCTGGACAAATGACTGCTGCTAGTGTTAAACAGGCAGCCAGGAAACTGGCAGTGAGTGTGGTCCAATGGCCCAAATCGGTTTCTTCCTTGCAAGGCCATTTATTTTTCTCACCCACGGACTTCTGTTGCCATGGAAACCATTTCACTAGCAGGATGGAGATGCAGGCCAACCCTGCTTCCTGCCCGGTCAGAGAGGCAACATTTATAATCATGAAACAAAGGAGGGAGTAAGAAAGCGTATGAGGTGGGGGCTTCCCTGGTGGTCCAGGAGTTAAGACTCCATACTTCCGATACCAGGGGTGTGGGTTCGATCCCTGGTTGGGGAACTGAGATGCCACATGCTACACAGTGAGGCCAAAAAAAAAAAAAAAAGGGCAAGTATACTCCAATAAAAATTAATTTTAGAAAAAGAAACTATATGAAGTGTGCAGTTAAAAAAGTAGTTTCTCTGATGTTCCCAAGAACATCAGAAGCTGGGTAAAAAAAAAATTTGAGAATGTCTGATTCAGAGTCCATTTATACGAGGTGTACTGCCAACAGCAAACATTCAGCGTATAATAAGTGCGTGCCAGGCCCTCGCAGTGCGCAGCCCATTTAACCCTCTCAGTGACTCCACGCACCTGGGTGGTTCTTATTGTCCCCATGACACAAAGAAACGGACTCCGCACTGCAGTCACTGCCCCAAGTCCAGCCGAAGAAAGGGACAGAACTGGGATCAAAACCCAGCCCTCTGACCCCGAAGCCTGGACCTCCTGACTTGAAACAGCTGCCTTCTCTCCATCTCTCTTCATGTCTCTGTCGTAGCCTCGCTCTTCAAAGGCGCTGGACACCCCTGTCCATCCAGCATTTGCCATTTTTGTTTGAGCATGTCACCCTTTCCGCCTCCAGCCATAAGCCCCTCTGTAACATCCCACACAATGAGGGTTCCACAGAACAGGATATGGGCCACTCCAATCTAGGCCAGTTTTCTCATCTCACAGAGGACTAACGTGGGCTGGGCAGGGAATAAGTTGCCTCTAGCTGCACAGCTAATAAATGTCAGAGTTGGCACCAGAGGGCCAGCCCCTTACCCTGCCAGCCAGAACCCGGCTGCACTGAGCTGCCTTATACCACTGTTTCTAAACCAGACCCTGAGTCGGCAGTTAGCTCTCCTGGCCAAGCATTAGGACTAATCCCCTTGTAGGATGGCTGTTAAATCAGCCAGAATAACAACAGTGCTCAAGTGGGCAGGGTAATTCACCAGAGAGGAAACGCTCCCACAGAGCTCTCCGGTTTCAGGCTCTGTTGCCTCGGGGGTCAATCTGAAACCATCTAACGATGAAGCCTGATTCATAAAATGTTCACCTCCGCCCAAAACTTTGAATTACTTAAATATTAAGTGTAAGGGGACCATTGTATTTCAACCAGTAGAATCCAACGGGTCAGAAATGAGAGGCAAAGTTTTCTATGCCAACAGCTTTAGGGAGCAAAGTTCCACCCATGAATCAAAGTTCCCTGGCTCAGACAGTGAGACGGCAGTGAGCATCGTCTTGGTTTTCCATTTTAACATGAATATAGCACCAAAGAGGCACAGGCATGAGCATGCTACCCTCCAAACACATGCCAGTGACTCTTACTGCCCAAGTTGTGAAGGTGTATTAGAGAGAACAGCATAGCGTGTGAAGACATAGTGTGTTCAAGTCGCCAGGCAGGTGGCATGGAGCTGGGTATTATCCTGAGAAGAACTGGTGGGGGAGGAGAGGTAATGTGAAGAGTAACTGTTTCTTTCCATGTTCATCTTTGAATTCTGACTCTAGCAATGATGGTAGCCTCACACCTTGTCTTTTTCCCACTTACAAGCAGAGAGGGTAGAGGCATCATGCCCTACAGAGCATGCTCAGACTGTGACACCCTACCATCCAGCCTTTTTGTACCTTTCTGCCCTTTCACACCTCCTCCTTCTGCCAGGAATTCTCTTCGCCTTTCTCCTGCCTGCATACATCGCACAGCCCCAATTCTGAGCCACCTCCTCCAAGAAGCCTCCCTGGGTTTCCCACTCAGGTTAACCTTCCTCTGTGCTCCTAAAGTCTATGTGCAAAATAATAGCAGCTACCATCTGTAGTGCCTAAGGTGTCTGGGCACATCACATGCATTATCTCTGTACCCACTTGGCAGGTAAGGAAAATGAGGCTTAGTTTGCCCAAGGTCATGCAGCTGCTAAATCATGAAGCTGAGTTTGAAATCCAGGTCTCTCAGGCTCCAAAGTCCTTGTGTTTCTACCACACAGTAGACACCTGTCCTTGCCTCAAACTTACCCCTTCCAGGAAGTGTGTGTTTCTTCACCTCCCACTAGACTGTGTGTTCCTCCAGGGCACCCCAAGTCTCATGGTGTATCCCTGTGCCTGGCACATAGCAGATGCTAAATAAATGCTTAAATGAATCAACAGCTTGTAGAGTGAGAAGCTTATCCCTTTATCTTACTGGTTGATGGAGCAATGCTTCTATAAAATCCTAGCACACATGGTGCCCACCCCCAAGTCAGCCCCCATCCCCAGCAGAGAATCAAGTCAGTTTCTCAGCTGGTAGATCCATTTGCTAACCCACTGCTTCTCCAAGTTTCATGTCCTATGAACTTCCTGGAAATTTCCTTCAAATACAGATTCTGATTCAAAAGGACTGAGACCCTCAGAGGTGGGGCATTTCCTGCAAGCTTCTGGTGATGCAGCTGGTTTGAAGATCCCATTTTGGAGTCTAAATGCATCAGCCAACAGCAGTCAATGCACTTTGGTTACCTTTGGCTGATGATGAACAATAAAACCTGTCTCCCACTTTGTTCTCTTTCCAAAGGATGACCAGATTTCAAATGCTTCTGACTGTCCATGATTTAGCAAAATATTTAAGTTATGCTTTGAGCTATAAACATTTGGCAACTTGAACCTTTGTTTGTGCCTGTAGCTTTGGTTTAATCACACCCTATCAATAAATCACAAATAAGTGAGAGAGAAGAAACACTCGCTGGAAGATTCCATTCCAGTGACAAGTGGATCATGGGAGTGGGTGAGGGTGGGAGAAAGAAGCCGATGAACCCCCAGTTCATTTTTATGGGAAGGGCTCCACCCTTCCACACCTGCCTACCCTGTGGCCACTTTCCCGGCTGGTCTCCTCTGTTCCTGGTAAACAGTAAAGCCATGGCTTATTCATCTGGAGCCCTTTGAACCCCACACAATCGCTTTACCAGCATGCCAAGTCTTTAGAGGTCAAGCATCTCCGGTCCAAGACGTTTGGAAGGAAAACACCCTCTTTTCTGTCTCCTTTTCCAGATGTCGCTGGGCCAGCAGCAGTCAGCAAGAGGTGTGCCTTGTCTGAGATGCAAGGGGACGTGTTCGGGCTTCGAGCCACATTCATGGAGGTAACGGAGTTTGTCAGGAGAGGCTCTGCCTGCCTTCATTTCTTGGCTGTCCTTTCTGGGAACCCTGGGACTGCTTAGGGTGCATGGGTTGTTGGCTGACTGGCTCGGGAGTGAACGCGTTCTTGCTTGGCTTAATTCAGAAATGACAGAAGAGCCCTTGAGCCAAGACGAAGAAGGAGTTCAGGCTTCATAAACCATTTCCAGGTGGAGGCAAGGATGCTGGGGGAAGTGGTGGGCAGTTGTTAGCTGCTGCCTGGTCCACGCTGGGTAGACCCGTCTGTCCTGGGGTTTGGTGCATGGGCTTCATCCTCCCCTCCTGCACCATCAGCCCTCCAGGATTCTGATCTCAAAGTGCCCCGGGGACCTAAATAAAAGTCCCCGTGTTTGCAGCACTTGAAAACCAGGACCTGGTATTCACATCCATGTGGGAGAGTGGTGAGATCTAGCTTGGATTTGGATTCACAGCATTGTTCTTCTTTTGGTTTTTTTTTCCACTGAGGACTCAAAACAAGAGGTATTGCTGCCATTCTGCACAAGCCTCAGGCACTGTTCACATCAGCATCTGTGTAGCCAGCACCCCCTGGAGGTGTGCAGGGCACAGCCCGAGGGGGCCGTCCCCCCAGCCCTGGGAGAGGGAGGCTAAACCCTGAAGGGCATGACAGCTCAAAAGGAGCTTTTGTCTCCACTGCCAGAGGGTGGCCTTAGGCACTCAGAGAGGGAACCCATCTCAGGAGGTGTTTGTCTCAGAGAAGTTGATTTCCACTGTGAGATGGCAGTAACAGAAATATACACTGAGCTGGGCTAAATCTTTTCTACTTGAATGTTGAGATAACCCTGAGTAGGAGGTGTTAGTATGTCCATTTTACAGATCAGGAAACTGAGGGTGGGTCATGAGGGCCTGGTGACTATAGAGCAGACTTCAAACTCAGGTCTGTGAGTAAAGCCCCATGCCATGCTGCCAGCCATTCTGCACAGAGTCCTGACATCCAAGATTGTTCCCTGACTCTACTCCCAGACACTCCCCACTTCAGAGGAGCTCATATGGGCTTTCAGTTCCCAGGGACCGTCAAGGTCATCCAATCCTGACTCCCGCCCCCTGCACCAATTCCCCCCACAACTAGGAGGTCCTCTCCCCACACATCTGTTTTGGCCATGTGAGCTCTTTCTGGCCTTGAAAAGGGTCTGCCTGCCCATCGTCTCGCCCCGCCGGTCCTGAGGCTGTCATCAGGGTGTCAGAGGATGAGGTTGGCCCCTCACCAGTTCTTCCTGAAGACCAGAGATGGGGCCTCCCTTTCAGAGTTCTTGGGCCCAGGGGATAGTGTTCCCTAAATGCACATGGACTGTTGTCGGGCATCTGAGAATGGGGGTTTGGTATATTCTCTCTGGTTTCCTAGTTGTTTATAGCAGGAGGGCAGTTCTGGACACTGTTCTTCTCGGCTGGGAGTGGAAGCCTCTCAGCATCGTTTCCATCCTGACATTTTCTCATCATCCTACCAGTTCCCAGAACATCCAGTGAATTTTAATTGAGAAACAGACTTCAGCCTGTAGGTCCTGCCTGTCCAGGACACAAGCCACATGGCCTCCCATCACAACTATTTGACTTGGCCCTGGAGACAATCTGTCATGAATGAATGTCACTGTGTTCCGGTAAATCTTTATTGAAGGCCACTGAAATTCAACTTTCTCACCATGTTCCTGTGTCCCCAGATAATCACCTTCTTCCAAATCTTTTTCAACCGTATAAAAACTGTTCATAGGCTATATGGAAGGAGGTGATGGACTGGATTTGGCCAGTGGGCTATACTTTGCCAGCCCCTGATGTAGACAAAGCCTGATTTTACAGGTAAGAAACGACAGGAGCCTGCGGTAGGCCAGTGTTCAGGCTGAGATTATATCCCAGTGTCACGCCTCTTCCACAATTCCAAGTTGCCTGCAACAGACTGAAGAAGTGCCCACTGTGGCGCTGCTGAGGATCCCTCCAGATGCGCGTATGTCCTCTGCATTCTGGGTGCCTGGGAAGAGCAGGAATGGGACCAAGGCGGTATCTTCCTCATCTATAAAGTCCCAGAAACGAGTCTGGCAACAAAAACAGCACAAATAAAGGAGAAATAATGTTGAAAGTGAAAGAGGAGAGTGAAAAAGTTGGCTTAAAGCTCAACTTTCAGAAAACTAAGATCATGGCATCCGGTCCCATCACTTCATGGCAAACAGATGGGGAAACAGTGGAAACAGTGTCAGACTTTATTCCCTTGGGCTCCAAAATCACTGCAGATGGTGACTGCAGCCATGAAATTAAAAGACACTTACTCCTTGGGAGGAAAGTTATGACCAACCTAGACAGCATATTAAAAAGCAGAGACATTCCTTTGCCAACAAAGGTTCATCTAGTCAAGGCTATGGTTTTTCCAGTGGTCATGTATGGATGTGAGAGTTGGGCTGTGAAGAAAGCTGAGCGCTGAAGAATTGATGCTTTTGAACCATGGTGTTGGAGAAGACTCTTGAGAGTCCCTTGGACTGCAAGGAGATCCAACCAGTCCATCCTAAAGGAGATCAGCCCTGGGTGTTCATTGGAAGGACTGATGCTGAAGCTGAAACTCCAATACTTTGGCAACCTCATGCAAAGAGTTGACTCATTGGAAAAGACCCTGATGCTGGGAGGGACTGGGGGCAGGAGGAGAAGGGGACGACAGAGGATGAGATGGTTGGATGGCATCACCGACTCGATGGACATGAATTTGGGTTAACTCCGGGAGTTGGTGATGGACAGGGAGGCCTGGCGTGCTGCGATTCATGGGGTCGCAGAGTCGGACACGACTGAGAGACTGAACTGAACTGAACTGAATGTTGACATAATCAAAGGACATCTCATATTTCTCAGCATTTTCCTTTTCAAAGTGTTCTGCATCCCAACACCTCTCATAGCTTCCTGAGCATCTACGTGAACTTGGATCCCCCAGATCCAAGTACGGAAGGTTTGTGGATGTCAGAGGACCCCATGGGACTCTGGGCTTCCCTTCCCTTCCTTCTTCCTCCTCTCTCCACTTCTGGCCCTGCTGCTGCCTCACCCCAATAAACCAAAAGTGCCCTCACCAGTCTCCTTAAAGAAGTAGTCTCCTCCACGCCTGGTCATAGAGAACACTATTGGTCATGAATGTGCATGTGTGCTCAGTCGCTCGTCATGTTCGAGTCTTTATGACCCCGTGGACTGCAGCCACCAGGCTCCTCTGCTCATGGGATTTCCCAGGCAGGAATACTGGAGTGCGTTGCCATTTCCTTCTCCAGGGGATTTTCCTGACTCAGCTTCCTGACTGAAATGGCAGCCTGCTGAATGCAAGCTGGAAGCTTCTCCTCAAACAATGCTTAAAAGGCTGTCTTCTGAACACCACACTGCACACCATGTGTTAAAAACAAGAAGCAAGCCTTGCACTGAAGAAATGTGTGTAACCTTCTATAGCCCACTGTCCTCCAAACTCATCACCAATGAGCACTTTTCCACGTGCGACATCCTGACTTCCCGGGGGAACTGGTCCAGGCAGCAGAACTACCCCAGAGTGTAAGCAACTCGCATGGCCCAACCTGATTCTACTTACATTACAGTTTCCCCGACCTGCTCTCTCTCCCACCCCCACTGCAGTCTCCTTGAAGGCTGCAGCGGGGCTCCTTCTCTTCACATCAGGCTAGGATCTCTCCACCTCAGCACTGCCAACAACAGGGGCTGGATGGTTGTCTGCTGTGGAGGGGGCTGTCCTGTGTAAGATGTTTAGCAGTAACCCTGGCCTCTACCCAGACACCAGAGCACCCCACTGGGATGATCAAAAATGTCTCCATGGGTTAGTCGCTGAGTCATGTCCGACTCTTCCCACCCCGTGGACTGTGGCCTGCCAGGCTCCTCTGTCCATGGGATTCTCCAGGCAAGACTACTGGAGTAGGTTGCCATTTCCTTCTCCAGAATGTCTCCATGCTCAGCCATAAAAAAAGAACAAAATAATGCCATTTGCAGCAACATGGATGGACCTAGAGACCGTCGTACTGAATAAAGGAAACCAGACAAAGACAAATATCATATGATGTTGCTTATATGCAGAACCTAAAGAAGAAGGTACAAATGAACTTATTTACAAAACAGAAATAGAGTCACGAATGTAGAAGACAAACTATGGTTCCCTGGGGATCAGGTTGGGGGAGGGACAAATTGGAATACTAGGACTGAGATATACACATTATGATATATAAAATAGACAGCTAATAAGAACCTGCTGTGTAGCATAGGGAACTCTACTCAATACTCTATAATGGCCTGTGTGGGAAAAGAATCTAAAAGGATCTTTAAAAAAAAAAAGAGTGGATATATGCCTGTCCATATGTATAACTGATTCACTTTGATTCACTTTGCAGTACAGCAGGAACACAACAGTGTAAATTAACTATACTCCAATAATTAAAAAAAAAAAAGTGTCTCCAGATATTTCCAAATGCCCCCTGGGGACAGTTCTGACCCTGGTTGTGAACCACTGATGTAGAGCATCAAGGTAAGCCTCCCATAGCCCCACAATCAAAATTTGTGCTAAATGATTAAATGCATCAATCTCCTGAGTTTCTAAGAGAAAAGGAGGCCTGGCTGTGAAGCACTCAGGCAACTGCCCTGACATCTCCCCGCTGAGGCCTGCCCCATCCCACCGTAGGTCATGATGCAGCTCACTTGACCTTACAAGCTCTACATTGCGTGTGTTCCAGCATCTGAGACGCAGCCTGCCTAAGGAGACCCAGCCAGGAAGGGAGGGGAGCGCTTTTCCTCTCACTCTGGGAACTCTGGATAGCTAAACCTTAACAGCATGACACAAAGCTGCCAACTGCTTTTGTTTTTAATTGTCAGAGGGAAGCATCGGGCTTTCAAGTCAGCCTATGAAGCCTCCCCAGGACGCTTTTTCTTCTTCCAGCCCCAAGACAAAGCCTTGCCAATGGATGTCAAACTCTCCAGCCCGAGGGGTTTAAGCTCATCCTCTTTCCCCCCAAGTCCTGTCCACCAGTTTCTTGAAGAAAATTTCCAGCTGTATTTTAACTTCAGGATGAGTGCTAAAGTGTTTACAAATTGCTGAAGCTCTGAGACTCATGAATCTTGGGAGACAATTTCAATAATTCTTTACAGCAAGAATCAGCAGACTTTTAAAAATAAAGGGCCAGATAACAGATATTTTAGGCTCTGCAGGCCTCGTGATCTCTTTTGTAATTACTCACTTGCTGTTGCCACCCAAATGCAGCCACAGACCACAGTAAATGAATGGGCATGGCTGTGTTCCAGAAAAACTTTATTTACAGAAGCAAGTTGTGGGCCAGGTTCAGCCCACAGGCTGTGAAGATCCCTGACCTAGAACGTCTCCAAGATGAACCAGCCTTTGCCACCCCAATGTGGTGGAAAATTTCTCAAGAGAAAAATTGTGCTGTTTTTGTTACCAACAAAAGTCATACCAAATTCCCAAGACACAGACTTATAGGAAGACACTGAGGTTCTGATTCCAAAGGCCTTTTGGTCTCTGGTTACCATTTGTCTGCTGCTAACCTTTTCAAGTTACTAAAGTTAAACTTTGAGCTTGCTTTCCAAAGTGTAGATGCTGCCAGCGGGAGACTCTGCCTCTCTTTTCTGGAGGTTGATCTCACTTGTCCCCATCCCACCCCTCAGGAAAATATGCAAGTCATGCAAATGCAGCCAAGAGGACCACTGCTTGAGCTCTGACCTGGAAGATGATCGGAAAATTGGCCGCTTGTTGATGGACTCCAAGTATTCCACGCTCACAGCCCGGGTGAAAGGTGGGGACGGCATCCGCATTTACAAGAGGAACCGGATGATCATGACCAACCCCATTGCCACGGGGAAAGATCCCACCTTTGACACCATCACCTACGAGTGGGCTCCCCCTGGAGTCACCCAGAAACTGGTAAGACAGCTTCCTGCAACCACATGGTTATTTGCCTTGTTTGTAAATAGGAGTCATGCCATGGGTTCCTGAATGTCAGAGACAAGGGAACATAGGTGCAAGGTTATAAGAATGGTGGGAATAGCTATGGTTTCATAGCTGCTCCTACCTCTGGGATCTTGAAGTGAAAACTATCTGGGCCTCATTTTTCCTCATCCATAAATTGGTAGAGGTATTCATGTGAATTCCAGCTGCAGTACACAGTTGCTTATGGTTCCCTTTGGGCTCTCTGCTCCTGAATAGAGGATGCTTTATCCTTCAGAATTCTCAGAGTGCTCTTCTTCATCCACAAGCTGTTCATTTTCCCTCAAAGTGGCCTGGGATGTGCCTTTTGCAAGCCTGGGGGAGAATACAGGAACACTCCTCTCTTCTCCCTAACTCCTGGGCTTAGAAGGGAGTTATGCCAGTTTACTTTACATAACTCTGGGGAAATGGCACCCGGAGAAGGACAAGGCCTAAAGAGAGCAGGTGACTTGCACAAGTCACCCCCCTTCAGCTTCCAACTAAAAGGACCCAAGGTAAGTGCCCATGAACAGGCCTCACCCCAGACAATTAAGTTGGGAAGCTCCAGACAGCAGGGTCAGAATCATCAGACATGAGAATTTAAATGAAGCCCCAGGTAATATCCCGTGCAGGTCCCTTCAGGACCCAGAGCAATGGACCGCTGCTGCTGCTGCTGCTAAGTCGCTTCAGTCGTGTCCGACTCTGTGCGACCCCATAGACGGCAGCCCACCAGGCTCCGCCGTCCCCGGGATTCTCCAGGCAAGAACACTGGAGTGGGCTGCCACTTCCTTCTGCCCCTCAAGTTTTCACTAGTGTAGAAACTCTCTGGAGAGCTCGCAGAAACACACCCGGCAGGCTCGGGGCTGGCGCGCCAGGCTCCCAGGTCACGCTGAGGCTGCCAGCTTCTAGACCACACCTGGGACCTGGGCGATTCCTCCAGGTTAGTGAGATTTTTAAAAGCCCTGCAATGTGAGCAATGCGGACCTGCCATTGAATCCCATCCCTCGTGGGAGGAAACAAGTGCCTGTGCAGTCCTGTGTGGCCCTGGCCCTTTAGCTCCTCCCGCAGCGCCTGCCATACCCCCTCACTCAGTACCGGGCAATACGCTGACCTTCTGCCTTCCTGCCCTGGACTATTCTAGGCTCTTGCCCTCCTCAGGGTTTGCACCTGCTCTTTCCCTAACTTGAGACATCCTCTCCTGGCTCTCTGTATAGCTGGGTCCTTGTGACAATCAAGTCTCAGACAGGCCCCACCACACCACCCCATCTGCAGTTGATGTCACTCATCCCACTATATATTTTTCTTTCTCTCTCCATTCTCCATGGTCTCCTTCGAAGCTCTTTTTTTTTTTAATTTACTTTTTATTGAAGGATAATTGCTTTACAGACTTTTGCTGTTTTCTGTCAAACCTCAACATGAATCAGCCATAGGTATGTCCTTAGAAGCTCTTATTTCAAGCTGCCCTTGTCTCATGCAAGCCTATGCTTCATTATCACCCAGAGCATGCACGCACACATCCTGTGCATCCTTCGCCTCACACCGCGCAGAGCGTGCAGCAGGCTTGATGAGTATTTGTGCCCACGTGACCTCCCAGCCAGTGATATACCATGTGTGCTCAGTGAGTGGGCTGGACCTGCTCCATAAAAATCCTTGTGACTGGCCCACGGACAGAAGCGCAGGAATTGAGAATAAGTATCAGGAAACCCCTGTGGCAACTGACATTCAAGTGCGTGATGGCCAAAGTTCTCATGTGCACAGCCTCCTGTGGCCTGAGAACCGTCTCATCAGGCACAGTGAGCCCACAGATTGTCCTGCAATCCAAGCCACCCAATAGAACCCGCAAACAAACCTTGATTCTTTACCATAGAAGGTTTAAGCCTGGAGTTTGCGGGGGCGGGGGGGCAGGGCAGAAATGTAGATAAAGCAAAGCTTCTAGATAAAGCAAAGAGAGACAAAGTTTTTTTGTTTTGTTTGTTTTTTAAGCTTTGCTTTTTGAGAAGCATACTTTCAAAGAACACTTCAGCATGCATGGGTGCCTGAGCTTAGCCACCCGGTGAGGTAGGGTGTAGCTGACCTGTGAGGGGACACAGAATGGTTAACCGCCCTTTGCCAGCATGAGGGGATAGGCGGGGGCAGGTCAGGGGCCACGGAGGGAGGCGCTGAACTGCAGCAGTGCTGGGTTCCCGAGGTTCCGAACACAGGTCTGCCTCCAGCACCCGGGCCCGGGTGAACCATCACGGGGTCGCCAAGATGTTAGTGGAAACTAAAGCAAGAAGCTCATAAAAGAGCCGGCTGTGGGCGACAGGAACTGGCTGGGGAAAACCTTAAACGGCTCGGCCCCAGCGTAATCAGAGGAAGGCATCGCCGGGCCGTGATTAATGGCGGCTCATAAAACCGCGCGGGATAAAGGCCTTTCTGTCTGCCCTGCGTCTGGCCAGCCCGAGCAAGTCACATTTCTGAGATTGGAGGACTCTCCTCCCACTCACCCTTCCGACTTTTCCTTAAATTACCAAGTGATCGGGACTGACTGCATTTTGGAAATAGACGGAATCTTGCTCTTTATCACCCTTCCCAACCAGAGTAAAAGCCAGAGAAGTGCTTGAGCTTTTAGAGACTAAAGTCGTGATAAGGCTCATTGCTGGTGCTTGTTGAGTACATACTGTGAGCCGGGCGCCAAGCGAAGAGCTACGCATGCGCAGGAAGTGCTGGTCGTGTCTGCCTCTTTGCGACCCCAGGGACTGCGGCCCGCCAGGCTCCTCTGTCCACGATATTTCCCAGGCAAGAATACTGAAGTGGGTTGCCATTTCCTACTCCAGGGGATCTTCCCAACCCCGGGAAAGAAGAACCCAGGTCTCCAGCATTGGCAGGTGGATTCTTTACCATCTGAGCCATGGGGGGTGGGGGTACTGCTCCCACTTTACGGAGGAGCCAACAGAGGCCGGGGAGGAGTCCGTGCAGGACCGGCACTCTCACGTGCCATTGTCTACCTCCAGACCCGTGGCAGACACTACTGATCAGTCTCCCACTGAGCCCTGTTGGACCTCAGAATCCTTCTCAACACAGCACTCTAGGCTGCCAGGACTGACCAGGATTCATATGGAATGTGAAGCCCATTTACTCTCCTTGTCTGACAGCTAGAGAAGATCAGGAAAAGCAAAATTGGGTCTGGGTCTTCTGACTGCAGAGTCCGTGTGTGTCCTACTGCCCAGCCCTAGGAAAGAGCACCTTTCTCCTCCACTTTTCTCTCTGCTCTTTTGATTTCTCTCCTGGAAAAGCCTGATTCTGGGAACCTCTTCCCCATGAATTCTCCACCAGACAGCAAAGTACCAAATGATTCAGAAAGGTCGTCCAGTCTTAAACCAGAGATTGGTTTAGGACCTAAAGCAGTCTTCCCAACTGATCTGAGAAAAGGCCTCTTGCTAAAGGTTTGGGGAACGTGATCTTGATTAGCTTCCTAAAGAGATCGCTGATTCTGACTCAATCTCTCTTTCCATCGCCCCCTTCCCAAGTCCGTGCCAATTGATAGCAGGTGTCTGAGAGCTATGCTGAGGTGGGTTCTGAGACCCTCATTGGGGTTGATTATTAATGTCTGCCATGTATGAGTGAGTGGGGAGTGGTAGCATGGGTCTCAAGCCAGCCAGGATCATAAAATACACACCAGCAGCAACCAGATGCTGGGGCCTTGTCAGTGCAAAGGTGGAGAGCTGGTACCCAGCTGGGGCTTTAAGCTGCAACAGGAAAAGTAGGTCTCTGTCTCCAGGACGCCAGCCAGGCACCCCTTAGCTCTTCAGGTCACACACGTGGTCTCGACCACAGGGTTGACTTATAAAGTCAAACAGGGAGGGGTGCAGGCCCGAGAAGGTGGGAGCCGCACACAGATCCAGGGCCTGGGCATCCTGGCACCCAGGCAGTGCTTCCACAGAAGGCAGCAGCCACGGGGCATGGGCATCATCAGGCTACCCGGTGGGAGGGTTAGGGTCAAGGTTGGGCACAGAGGTGGAGACCAGTAGTAGGGGATAAACAATTTGCGTTTCACACTTTCTCATGCTGTGTGGCCTTGACCTTTATCTCCCCATACCTGGGACCCACCCAAGTGTAAGATTTCTACTCATTTTAAAGAAAAGCAAGCCAGCAAACTAATGAAAGGCCAATCGGACAGTTATCCATGGCCATATTTATATTCAGATGGTCTACCATCTATCCCAGCCCTATCAGTGTGGAAATGTTATTGACCTGGGACCTTGTCGATTCTACTAGTAGAAGGGGCCTTTGCATATTTTAAAATTAATAAACCATGAAATGCCTTCTGCCTATAAGGATTTAATTATACTTTGCTAAGAAAAGCGATTTTAAATGAGATTTTTTTTTTAATGAGAAGCATTGCCATGAGGTAAATGAGGTAAAAATCTTCAGTTTGTAAGGAAACAAAATCCATGTTGCAGAGCCAGCAGATCTAAAATGAAAGTCTACTGAAATTATCCCATTCTCATCAAGCATATGAAGCTGTGGTTACGACTTGGGGGAGAGTGGAAGCTTGTTCAGGCCTCTCGGGTGTTCCCCAAAGAGTCACCCTTTTCTTCCTTGAGACTAATCCTTGGGTTCTCCAGAAACCTGGAGGAGCCCAGGTCTTGCCAGGGCTCGGATCTCTGCGCGGATGCATGGGAATCACGGTGCTGGGTCTTCCCTCCCCAGGGCCTGCAGTACATGGAGCTCATCCCCAAAGAGAAGCAGCCGGTGACGGGCACCGAGGGCGCCCTCTACCGCCGGCGCCAGCTCATGCACCAGCTCCCCATCTACGACCAGGACCCCTCTCGCTGCCGCGGACTTTTGGAGAACGAGCTGAAAGTGATGGAAGAGTTTGTGAAGCAGTATAAGAGCGAGGCCCTGGGTGTGGGCGAGGTGGCCCTCCCCGGGCAGGGCGGCTTGCCCAAGGAGGACGGGAAGCAGCAGGAGAAGCCTGAGGGAGCCGACACCGCCGCCCCGACCGCCAACGGCAGCATCGGTGACCCGTCCAAGGAATATGTAAGTCTCTCCCACCCCTCCGTCCGTCCATCCATTCATGCCTCGGGTCTGGATGACAATGCCCAGGTCAGGACTTCAGGGTCAGGGTCAGCTCCAGGCCCTGTTTCTTCATTCCTGCATTCATCTGTGGTCATGGTCCAGAGGTGGTCACAGATAAGCAGACCCTACCCGCTCAGAGAAAAGGCATCGCTCCTTGCTTGATGGGGAGGGTGGGCTTGGGGGAGGAGGTGAGGCCCACTCTGGCCTTGCAAGAGTCACTAGGAGTCCCCCAGGCCTTCGGGCTCTTCAGGGAAGGCCTGTGTTGCTTTCAAGAGGTGAGCATGCCCTAAAAGAGGTGAGGGTTTCAGAGCACAGCACAGTCAAAGGATTGAATGAAGTGCCAGGTGGCTGATGGTGTGGTACTTGGGGGCTGGCAAGGTCAGCAGAAGCACATTTCCTGAAGAGTCATGCACTCCATCCATCCATCACTCAAGTATCCATTAGCCTGTACTGTCTGCCGAGATCCAGGAAATTAAACAAGCGGAGGACCCTGTCCCCATACGGGGATGTCATGGACTTAGGACTTTACTCCCAGGGCCATAGGCAACAGTGGTGGGCTTGAGACTGGGGGCCACGTGGGGCTGTCTGCTAAGTTTCATGGGACCCCCAACCCCCATCAGTCAAGAGGCCCTATGACTCTACGTGACATTTGGAAATATGAGTCCCAATCCATGAAGCAAATCACCTGCCTTGCTGGCAACAGGCAAGAGTCACCCACATGAGCCAGGCACCCCAGGGACATGCCCACCCAAATGATGCTGTCACTACATCAAGAAGGGGTCTCTATTCTCTGTAGTAACTCACACTTGCTATCCGAGACCTGCGTCCTGCATTTCCAATGCCCACCCCATGGGCACATTCATTTGGGATTGCCATCCGATAACCTCGAAGACAAAAGAATGAAGTTGATTTTCCCTAGCACAAATTGGTGATGATGTTGAAAAGACCTGTTTCTCAGGAAGAATTCACATCCCAGGAACTGATTTTTAAAAATTAGATGCAGTGACTAGCAGAAACTAGCCCCCTACCCAGCCCTGCTCTCTATCCACCCTCCATCGCCTCTTAACAAGTAAGTACTGCAGAATTCCAAATTGGAAGGCAGCTTTAAGTCTGTGACATTTCCCAGTTGCCATTCCCAGGAGAGAAATGCTGATCTGAGAATGTATTTCATCCTGGATTCCACGTGTTTGGACAGCATGGAAGTAGGGCAGAGGCGGCCTAAGACCCCAGGTCCTTGGCGACAGTCAGCTCTAGGAAATGGCTCTGACACTTTAGAAGTATTTAAACAAGACCAGACAGTAAATAGGGAATCCACAGGAAGGTGATATTGGTGGGTTGTGCTAGTTAGGGAAGACAGACTTTTCCTTCCTTTGTATTTGCTGTTCAGTTGCTAAATCGTGTCCAACTCTTTGTGACCCCATGGACTGCAGCATGCGAGACTTCCCTGTCCTTCAGTATCTCCCAGAGTTTGTTCAAACTCGTGTCCATTGAGTCGATGATGCCATCCCAACGATCTCATCCTCTGTCTCCCCATCTTCCTCCCGCCTTCAATCTTTCCCAGCATCAGGGTCTTTTCCAGCGAGTCAACTCTTCACATCAGGTGGCCAAAGTATTGGAGCGTCAGCTTCAGCATCAGTCCTTCCAATGAATATTCAGGATTGATTTCCTTTAGGATTAATTGGTTTGATCTCCTTGCAGTCCAAGGGACTCTCAAGTGTCTTCTCCAGCACCATAGCCCCTTCCTTTTCCTAAACCTGATCTTAATTAGATAACTAATTATGTCACTAGTAGACTCACATCCGTCACCCCCTCTAGATGCTGAGGTCCTGTCTTCTCCATCTTTGTAACCTAGGGCTACACATCAAACCACCCCTCTCTGCAGCAGGTACCACTGATAGAATATACAGAGAAGGTACTTGGTAATTATGTGACGCATGAATGAATGAATGTTGAAACTAAATTGATACTCTGAAGATGGGGACCACTTGGGTGGCTGTTTTGCTTGAGAGGACAATGAGATTTCAAGTTTACGTGCCTTAAGCATCTTCTGTGTGCTACATGCTCTGTTCACTACTTTCAGGTCTTGGATGAATTCAAACCATTACCTGGTGGGTGGATTTCAAAAGCCCTGTATTATAGTTGGGCCTTCCCAGGTATTGCAAGTGGTAAAGACTCCGCCTGCCAATATAGGAGATACAAGAGAGACAAGTTCAATCCCCGGGTCAGGAAGATCCCCTGGAGGAGGGCATGGCAACCCACTCCAGTATTCTTGCCTGGAGAATCCCATGGACAGAGGAGCCTGGCGGGCTACAGTCCCTGGGGTCGCACAGAGTCGGACACGACTCTTTGCACGCATGTGTTGCAGGTGTGTGAGGGATTCAGAGAACATAGGTAGCTTGTCTGAGGCCCTATCATTTCTGGGGGGGACAGGGGTGGGCAGACTCCGGATCTGATACTCTTTCTACTGTGTGATGCTGAATAGAAAACCCTGCCTGTTATCTGTATTTAACTCAATGTTTATCTCCTCGAAGCGAGGGAGCAAATTCTATTAAGGTAACTAATATCCTGCCAGGCTGTAGACAGTGTGTCCCTGGCAGCCCCAGCCCAGGGGGCAGCATATCAAGGGGACGTGGGTGCTGGCCAGCCTGTGTGCCGGGCTCCTCTTGTTCTCATAAAAGGGCAGCGGGACAGCCTCCAAAGCCAGATGTCAGGCACAGACCTGACTTTCGCTCCCCCTGAGGAGGGAAGTGAACTTGGCTAGAAGCCATCGGGGCATTCAACCTAAGAACCCGGATACAGGGAGGACGCACAGAACGGACATTCCAGATCAAACAGCGACGTATGAAGGAAGAGGAGGCAGAAGGAAGGACACGTGACATGAAGCACCCTGGAGCTACAGTTGTAACACGCCACGCTCTGTCACCCTGATGGTGAGCGTCAGGACCGTTGCTGGCAGCTACCATTGTGACCTTTGATGTAGAGCTCCCAGCCACCCAGCCACAGGACAAGAGGCTGTGGGACTCAGACCAGCCTCTGTCAGCCCCCAAGCCCATCTTCCTGTTTCCCAAAGCTTACTGCCCGGAAGCTCAAGGATATGAAGCTATTAAAGGGCCATGTGGCTGTGTAAAGGTCCCCTTTACACATCAGAGTGGACAAAACGAACTGGGTTTCTTGCAGGCTGGACTTCTCAGAGCCTTCAGAAGACTATGGCGATGTCTAAATGCACCTGGCACCCTGGCTAAAATCCAGCGGCCTGGGTCCCACCCCAGACTAGTGGGTGCAGGTGGGGCCTGAGAATCAGCATTTCCAACAAGTCTCCAGGCTGATGCCAATGCTAGGCTGGGGGCCACCCTTTGAGAACCACTGCTATAGAGGGTTGAAAATGACCTGACATATAAACTCAGCCAAAATGATATCACCAATCTGTTACACAGTGAGGGTCCGTGAGATGCTAACATGGGCGTGTTCTAGATGTGTTGGTCTCCCCGCGGCTTTGGGGGTCCGGCTTTGAGAACACCGTGCAGCACTCTCGAATTCTTTGAACTGTCCACGGGGAGTTCAGGGAACACTTGAGGATAACACAGCCCCGGCTCTCTTCCAGCCCTGATCGCCCAGCCAGGAGCTCACGACCCTCTGCTCTCAGCAGACAGAGGCCAGGAGCCCGCCCTCTCTGAGCCCCCGGCAGCCTGCACCCCACGGCGGTCCTCCCTGGCGCTCACTCAGCTCCGTGCTGAGGCTGGGCAGCCTGTTACAGTGATGGCCTTCCTCGGAAACCTCGGGAGGAACCCGGGGCAACCCCAGGGTCGGACTGCCGAGTCCTCCCCGCACCAGACTGACCAGACCAGAGGAGCATTCCCACCAGAGCCTGTTCCGAGTCATCCATGTGGAATCCCTGCCCACGGGCTGAGTGCTGGGTGAAGCCGGAGAGCGGCGGGATGGCGGGACCAGCAGGTCCCTGGAAGTGTCACCCTGACGCTGTGCTTAGGAGAGGTGGAAGCATGGGAAATGCCCGTGAGAGTCAGCCCTCTTCATGAGGAAAAGTCACACATAAAAATCCCAGGTACCAGCTTGTCCACTGTCACTCTCAAAGCAGGCCCTTTAAACCACTGAGGCCAAGTAAAACCCCCCAATGTTCAGCCTCCCTCTCTCTCCTTGATTTGTCCCACTACGTGTGCATGGAGTGGGGAGGAGGCTGTCATTGCACAGCAGTCTCATTCATCTCTTTGAATCATCCGAACAACCGGTGAGAGAGGGTGGGGTTGTTATACCCATTTTACAGATGTGGAGCCTGAGGCACAGAGAGGTTAGCTGGTTTGCTAGTGAGATTCCAGCCCAGGTCCTTCTGCATCACCAGCTCTGTGGGGTCTTGGCAGCGTGGAGACAAAGCAAAGGCACATGCATTTCTGTTTGTTGGGGTGAGTGGCAATGTGTGGAGTCCAGCCAGCAAAGAATTTGGGGGCAAGTCAGGAACAAGGGAAGCACTTGTCCACCCCATTCCAATGCCACCCGCCATGGGTTCTCAGGAGTCTTGGGGGCTTCAAAGCATCCTGTGGTCAGGAAGCTGCCTACCCCAGCAGCCTGGACCTCCATAGTCGCACAGCAGGGCCCCACATCCTGCTCCTGACCCCTCGAACCTGGATGGATCCCACAGACACCGGACCTTGATGCACTGGCAGTGAATGGCTCTACCAGACCATTGCCCGGCGTTTACAGAGCTTACTGGATATGTTCTCAGAAATTCAATATACAGATTTCCTGGGCATGCTCATCCTGCCCAGGAATTTCCTCCCTTCTCTACACCCCAAACTTGTAACCGAAGAAACAAGAAAGCAAGCCAGGACGTAGCATTTAATGTCATCTCCACCCTTCCGTATTTTTCATTCCTGCCAGGAGCCCCCCAGCTCCTGCTCTCAGGCCAGGCCATAGCCCCGGAGAAGATTAAAAGGAGAACAGACTGAAAG